TAAAAACCAATTTTTTTTTTTTAAATTTTTTAGAAGTTAGTGTTTTTTTATAGTGTCGGGTGAGGTCGAGCTATGAATTATTTTTTCTAGTAAACTACAGGGTTTGTACTTCGCATATAAGCTTAAAAACATTTTCCCCGTTCGTATGAAACTCGATATCTATTGCCAATTCAAAAGTTCGAGTTATGCAAGTTCAATTGTATACAACACATACATACCGACATATTCGACAAAAGGTTTGTTAAAAAATCGAGAATCACTAGACATATTAGACGATTTTATTTAGTTTAGCCAATACCACAAACCAGGCGTATATGCCACATACTAATTAAATGTTCCTTTCTTTTTTGTGCCAAAAAACATATGTTAAAAGTTTCATCAAGATATCTTAATTTTGACTCAAGTTACAGCTTGCACGAACGGAGAGACGGACGGACGGACATGCGAACAGATACATAAAAAACCTTAATGCATACTTAATGTATTCCTTAATGCGTCTTATATATACTTTTCAAAATGGTAGAGCTTTTCTGTTCCTACTCCTCCAGATATCGAGGAAATAAACTCTGCTTGAATTAATCTATATATTTCAGCCACCATTTTTTGTCTAGGCAATATACAAAATATATATATAGTATGTATTTACGTGAGGAAAATTTACTCTCTGAAACCGAAACACTTCTCTGAGGACTTGCCAGCACGGTCGCTTAATTTTCATCGAACTGCAAATGTTTTTAACACACATTCATATAAACTGCGCGAATTGCAATTTATTTTTGACAAATTCAATTTTGAATTGAACAATGATAACTCAAGCGCTGGGGAATACCAGGTTACAAGTTCATACACTTGTAGGTACGGCATGTATGAACAAATTTAATTATTATGTAGCCTACACTGCAAGAAATTTTGCGAGTAATCTTTAAAGAAAGTAACCCCGGACTGAAGCCTATTCGGTATTATGTGGTAGGAGTGAGTCTCCGACAAGTACTTCAGAATATAACTAGTTACTAAATAGAGTACAATTGGAGATTAATAGTTTAGAAAGTGCCTGGTGTTTCCGTGGACATTAGGATAAAAAGTTTATCAATGACAATTATCTCCATATTGTAAACTCTCCGGTACAAAAGAGTGCAATTATTTTTAGGATAAACGCGAAAGTTTCTCGTGGACTCACATCGATCTCATTCTACATTTATTATTCTTGTTCCAGGATATACGTAGGACTACAGTATGTACGAATGTTCATATCCTTTGACGGGAGGCATACAGCAGCTGTTCAGCTTATTTTGCTAATTTGTCAAGAGCGTTTGAGCAATGAAATGTAAATATTCACTAAATCGCTAAACAAATAAATACCTTTTGAATAACGGTACAAATATGTTTGCCTTCGCACATAGAAGTCTCCATATTGTCGGCAGTCGGCGGTGAGGCTGATGTAGGTATTTTCTAAATGTACCGTTATATTTGTCAACATCAATCGGTAAGCTTAAAAATTTGCAGCAATCTTTTTAGCCACCGTTACGGTTTGTCGGCATTAGAAAAGAGTTGAAGTTGTCAATGTGCAAATGGCCAATTTATCTGTGAATGCCAATGGTTCGACTTAGTTCATTTACAACACAATTTGCGCTATCAAGCGTTAACCGAGGCACTCAAATGGAATGAATATATAGTATATGGCATATTAATACATATGTATGTACTGCGTGTGTGTGTGGAGGTATGTAGTACAAGCAATTTGCGAAAAAGCCTCTTGCTTGCCAGTCACGTGTGTCTGTAGTTTTGATTGGAAACTCAAATTCAAATTGTCAGAGTTGAAAATACGCTCAATAACGCCTACACACTCACACAACCTTACGGAAATATTTTGAATTTGTTATGCATGTATTATCCTCAGCGTTTGCTTAACCCATATTCACAATTGCCATACTTGCCAGTTTGCTTAAGTGTGTGTGTGTGTGTGCACGTTGATGGTGGGAAAGTTCAAAGCTTATCGAGCGAGGTGTAAAAATTTCAAGTGGCAGCTGTGTGGCCAATTATACATAGTGTCGGGCTCAAGAGCACATGTTTCGTGGCTTTCATTTCAGACGTGCATGTGAGTGGGTTTGAATTAATAGCGTTAAGCTACAAGTGTAAGCGAGTATAAAGGCGTACTGAAAAGCTTCGTGATCCGCATAGAAAATGCGTTGCTCAATCTAAGACGAAAAGGTGCAGCTTAGTGGCTATTTGTGTTTCGCTTTTGAGTGCAAATGTGCCGATTGAGGTGTGAACACGTGGAATTACCGCTTTTTCCCTGTGAGTTGTAGAGTTCAGTAACTGTAAATGTGTAAAATTTTCTGTGTGTGTTCTGTGTTATTAGGTTCAGTAGTACATAGTGAAGATGAGGCTAATTCCTTAAAAAAAAGGGTTGCAAGCTATAACAACAGCGGAAATTTGCTTAGAAATGCATGTTTCAGGAAGTTGGCAAATTAAGGCATATTATTATATTTTATTCGGAAACAAAAGAGAAATGCTCATTTTGTATACACAAACGATTCCTTAATTCAGTTGATAAACCAATCTATTCTAGTCGGTTACCATGGCGCTAAAACGATTGCATTTAACAGGCTTTTTTCGAAAAAATATGGACCGATGATTCCACCGGCCTACCAAACCATTGCTATTCTGTATGAAATGGCACTTCTTGAATATCTACTATCCTCTACATACGGAAATTTTGCTTGTTTACATACATTGAGCCAGAAATAGACCCCATCGCTGAAAAAAATTTGGCTCGAAACTCCAATCGAAGTCGCTTGAGCTTAGTCAAGCTTACTTATTAGAACTAGTACACATAATTTTTTACTTGTAGACCAAAATATCTCAATCCATTATCATTGATAATATTTTTGTGGTGTTGATACTATGGTTCTGTCTCAGTAGAGTCTTAAGGTGTGTATTTTGAAGTCCAAAGTTAAAACTGATATTGCCTTTGACATCCAAATCGAAGCCCAATTACATTGACAGTTTTTTTTTTTAATTTGTGGTTTTCTTTCTTTTTTTCTAATTACGAATTTGACCAGAAGGTACGTTTTGCTGATTTAATCTCACCAGCAAGGTCGTTACTCCTTTCCATAGCAGAGCGAGTTCTAATATTGATATAGGTATAGATAACAGCGTCACCAAATAATCAATTATAGATAACTTTTTAATTTGTCAGCCCAATCAATCCAGCCTCTTACTTAAATAAAATCTCAACCAGGTAATAATTTAGTCGGCTTATAAGTGATTCGTTCACAAGACATGCACCCAAATTTTGATTCGAAAGAGGACTGTGAATTCGTCAAAATTATTTGCAGACTCTTGTTGTCGTCACAACAACAACATATCATGACCAAAACTCAACAGAAGTTGCCTCTTAAACTGACTCCCAGAGTCAAGTCTTAAATCTTGCTCAAAAATATTGGCAGTTTGATTGTTTTTCTAATAATTAGGGTACCCTTAGCAGATAATCTGGTTGAAACCTTCCATCTGTGGAAGACAAAGCATGGCAACGCACCCAACTATATATGAGACAAATGAGAAGAGCACGTCGCTATATTAAAGCTTAAGCATTTTGAGGTCTTTAAAAAAAGTTAAAACCTTTACAACAATAACAATACCTTGTTAAGAATAAAATGCAAAGCTTCGAGGCTTTGTTTGGCAAGGAAAACAACACAAGATTGGCAAACAAAAATATTTTATTATGAGTTCAGCGGAGGTCAAGATTTTTCGATCTTAGATGACTTGTACACACACCAAACAAAGTATTGTTGTATACATAT